AAATGATGACAAGCACATCACACAACTTAAAATATGCCCATATTTTGTAACTAGATTTTAATCTAAGTCAGATCCATAATTTTTCAATCACATATTTCGTCAAATTTTATCAAAATCTACTAAAAATCTGATTTTATTAATTTTTAATTCAAAGTTTTACAGATTTCCGACATGTTTAGAGTAATTAATATATTTTCTATCATGAGAGTTGACCCTAAGTACAATAAAATATTGGTTATGTACATTACAGGTTCGTTGACATCAATCATTAATATCCTTGGCAGATAGTTATCATTTCATGATGCAATAATTTAATGAATTATCCAACTAAACTTACCAAATTACTTGGAATCCTATGCTTTATATCTGATCTCATATTCTTTAAAATTTCTACTTCATTTATTTATCTAAGAGTCATTGCAAATGTGAAAAATGAGTGGAAAAAAAAATATTTTACNCATTAGACAAGTTAATATTAGGGTCCGTTTGATTGCAAATGTGGAAAATGGATAGAAAGAAAATGAATTCTAGGGAATTGAATTGCCTAGAAATTGTTTTACTGGGAATTGTAATTAATTGTATTTGATTAATATAATTTTTTACCTGAAAAATGTTGAAAATTTGGTATCCTTTTGATTTTTTTGTCATGGAAATTGTTCATTAAAATGATAATTTTTTCTACAATTAGATCTAAAATTTGTTCCACTTGCCAAAAAAAATTAAAATAATAACCATACCGAGTATCATTCGTTTGACTTTGTTTTGTATAGAAATTGTCAATAAAAGTGATAATTCTTTTTTTACCATTGTGTCTAGAATTTTATCCAATTGAAAAAAAATAAAAAAACAACCCGTAAAATCAATTCCAACAAAAACAATAGGAAAACCAATTCACCAAATTTCCGTAAAATGGGTGCGTAAAATTGTGGCGGTGAAAACTTTTTGCAGGTAAATTTTGGCCATCAAACATCTACAGAGGAGGAAAATGGAAAAAATCCAAGGAAAAGCCATGCTATCAAACATGGCCTTAGATCAAATTGGATTTAATTGAAAAACTAAATTATATTATTTGTGGAAAAGAGTTGACTTCCAATTGATAGAAGTCACAATAATCAGTTGACTTGTGTCTTATAATTTGTGTTTAGGTGTTGCTAATGTCACTTAAGATGTTTTTTTTTATATTTTCATTGCATGAGCATGCATGCATGCTAATTTTTTTTATCATTAAAATTTATTATGTTTTATTATGTTATTTATCAACATAATTAGTCTATAAATTTAAAGTTGATTAAATAGAATTATTTGTAGTGGAAAATCTTGACCTGAAGATAAAATTATTTAGATAGAAATTTTTAAAATTTTAAAGCCTCACATAAATATCCTTAGGCAATTGCCTAAATTGTGCGAATGTTGAGCAGACAACGATGGTTGACAGCGTCAACGTTGTCAAATTTTGGATCATTAATTTTTAAAATAGTTTTTAAAATTGATGAATGTGATGTTATCAATTACGATTGTCAATCAAAATTGTAAACAAATATTGTACAAGTAACATGAATTTATAGATATGGAGATAATTGAGCTTATAGCATTTCATTAGGTTTATTTTCATTGTCAGCAAATTATACATTCAAATTAATACAATTAAATACTATTCCCTTTTAGTCTTGAAGCAATGTAGATAACATCTATAATTTTTTCTAATATGTACTTGAATAATGCTCTTTGAACAGGCTCAAAGATAGAGATATGGGGATATGGCGATGTAGTAGATAATAATTGGGTATTTTGTTTTTATTTTTTTCAAACTGTCCAATTATGTGTCTACATGTGTCATCCTTATTTTTGAATTTATCTTTAACTTTGTTTGTGTAGCACAATTGTATGTACCTTTGGATAAGCTGTACTCATAAAGTACTTTATTTGACAAAATGGATTACTTGTTAGAAAATGGCATTATACTTATTATATATTTTTATGTGATAAAATAATGTATTTTATCTTTATTAAAAAATATAGTGGCATTATATTATACTATATTATAAATATATCATAGGTCATCAAAAGGATCTAATAAAGTACAAAAGCTTCCATCTTTCTAAAATAGATCCTATTGAAATAGTGCATAATTACATAGATTATTAATTTCAAGAATCGAAAAATTAAATTAATTTATTATTTAAATAGTTAATTGTTTAATATTACTACTGATAAACACTTTTTTTTTAGCAAACTTTAGTAGAAATAAATTATATTTAATATATCAAACTAATTCTTCACTTTATAAATATGGTTATTGTATAAATAATTTCTTATTTTTAGTATTTAATTTATTTGATAAACTACTAGCAAAATAATATCTAATACATGAAATATGTGGATTTTTTTATTTACAAATAATTAAAGTCTTATTTTATAATAGTTATTTCTACTTACTACTAAAGTACTATTGGAAATAAATATTTTGAAAAATTAAACTGAAATATATTTATTACTAAGGTAAATAAGTAATTTAATCATTTGAAATATTATTGTTTCTTCATAAAAATTTATTATTCTAGTCCATAGAGCATACATACGTATGATATATAACATGTTCATTTATTTTAAAAAATTTATTGAGACGTAGTTACTTATGATCGAAGAAAATGATCTAGTGTAATAAGTTCTTGATATCGTACGAAAACTTAAAAAAACATTTCCCATCTTGATATGATTAAAAATTTACTAACATATATTCGTTTATGATTGAAAAAAAATATAACACCAAAAATAAAATATTCTCAATTTACTGCTAATTCAGAATTTTAATCTTTGTTTTATCATTTCTCGTGGCAAGTAATTGAAAGATGTCTTTATTTAATGCTTGGGGGCATTTGCTTGATTTAAAATAATCTTTGTTAGGTAATATTTGCATCGTTGACTTACCCTTGTGCTATTAATATTAGTTAAAGTATTGAGG